ATTTCTACTTTCTACCATCAAAATTGGAATAATTTTGACCATCAAAATCACCAAACCAATTTGGGCTGCATGTATACTTAAGATAACAAATGGGATATTAATTATGATTACATAACAAATGGCTAAATTTTGATCCCTGAAATTATTAGTTATACCAATGTTCACTTTGTCTGGTTTTATTGCAGTATGCCCCAAATAAAATGTCTTAGGTAACTTCATAGGTAAAATTACATATGTTTAGATGTGGTGTGGGGTAAAAGTGGTCATTTTCTCTTATAGAGTGCCCTATAATTATATCGAACACACGATCTAACCAAATTTATTAATTATTTGCAGATAATTATCAAATTTGGTTGGATAACGTGCTCCGTGTTAATCGATTTATGTCATGTGATTTTATTTGAACAAGTTCTAATGTTTTTCTACAGGTTATTTAACGGACAGTTCAAAAGTTAAATAATCGTCATTTCCAGCACGGACATCATCTATTGCAACATCATCATCAATATACTGAATAGATTTCTTCCAAGTACCAAGGTAAAGAGTGGTTGTCAATAATCTTGGTTATCCTTTTGTATATTACGATTTATATATAAAATTAATTCTTAAATAACTAATTGATAATTAAATAGCAAACTGTTTGTAATTTAAGCGGTAATTAATATAAATGAAAATAAATAATTATTATGATGTGTAAAATTTGACTGTGCCGTATAGATAATTTACATATTCGGTTAGCTCACACCCTTACATCTGACTGAATTCATAAATAATCCAGTAGCTGTTGTAGATCACTTTGTTTAATCAACGTTTTTTTTTTTTCAATACGTGTATATATATTAATATATGTGTGCATTTCGAAATGTCGTTTTTGCTTTAATAAAAAATGGTCATTGCAAATTTTTTCAAAGAAAGTAGCCAAGTTTAGAGGTTATATAATAGACGGAATATTCATTAAAATAAATAGCTTAATATTTAAACTTTTTCGTTGGGGTTTCGATCCCATGAAATAAAACTATTTAAACTACTTTTTTGGTTAATCAAACCGTCCCTGGATTAATATTGTTGAAAAATACAGAAAGAACTATTATTATCATCAGTCAAAAATTTTTTCTTATAAATGCCTGCTTATTTCAACCAGATTCAGGCTCTTCCCAATTTTAAACCCTCAAAAAAAAAAAAATATATATTTTTAATTTTAAATGAAACCATCATCATCTTCAATAAATAACGCGACTGAAATTTCTGAAAACAGTGTTGTCAAAATCGCCAGTCCAATCGTTTTATTGGACTTATTGGACTCGACTAGACTTTATTTGGACTTTGTCATACAAAATAAAAAAACTTGTCATAATCATTTGTTGTTGAATTGTAAATTTTTTTGAATTAACTTCTCAAGTGGTGAGGAGTGGTTAAGTTGGTTCAATGACACTGATACAGAAACTACAATTGAAAATGAATTTTATAATGATGGTGGAGGTTCTATTAATACATCATCTAAAGAAATAAATAATGTACAAAATTCTTCT